TTTGACATAGAATACTGCGGCTGAATATTCTCTATTTACTTTTATAAACTTTTCATATGCACGCACTCTCAGCATGTCACTATCAATCAGCGAACCAGCATATCTGGAGATGTTTTTGTTCTTGTTAGAACATTTTTTTTTTTTAATTGCCCCTCTTTATCTGGTTCACTGGTCAATGTCCAACCGCTGACACTAATTTACACACTGCCGCGCACGTGTCTGTTTACGTGTGTGTGTGTGTGTGTGTGTGTGTGTGTGTGTGTGTGTGTGTGTGTGTGTGTGTGCGCTCAAATGTGGGAGCCAGCAGGGGAGGCGGGGGACCTGCTGGAACTGGAATGTCTGGTAAAATGTACACTCTCTGACCCCCCAATCAGAGCATTCCTTAGACTGTCGAGGAAAAAGTGATGACAAGAAAAAAAAAGTCTCATTCTTACTCACATCTTTATCTTTTTTTTCTTTTTTAATTAGTCAGTTTTTTGAAAAAATATTGTTTATTGGTTGATATATTATGATTTAAAATTTAAACTCTACTCTCTAAAGATGGGCCCTTTTTCTCCTAATTAGTTACTTTCTAATTTAAAAAATATTTTCTTCTCAGATTATCACTTTTTCCTTGTAAGTTATTGAGACGCATTAGAAGTAGTTTATCTCGGGAAAAAAGGGACTTTATTCTGCTAAGATTGAGACTACTTACTGTATATACTGCATGTATACTATACATACAGTATATACAGTAAGTAGTCTCATATATGTATATAAAATGTGTGTGTGTCTGTGTGTGTGTGTGTGTGTGTAATGTTTATTGTTCTGTAGAAAGATGGCTTGGAAAAGATGAAGGTGTACAACATCTGTGACTTGCTCCGCATTCGCAACATGCGCTGGTTGTCAGCTGTGCTATGGCATGTCTGGTGAGGTGCACGCACACATGCGCGCGCGCACACACACACACATACCGAATGACTTGTCCGGTGCTGTGAGGCTCAAAAACTTGATCCGAATTGTGTTCGATTCCACCATGTATTTTTAAAAGCCACCCGGAAAAGAAACAGAAAACGATTTGACTATGGCTGAAGCTGTGTCAATTTCCCTCCACAGGAGCACGATCGCCATGAGCTACCTTGCCTTGTCCCTCAACACGTCCAACCTGCACGGCGACGCCTACCTCAACTGTTTCCTGTCGGCGGCTGTGGAGATTCCTGCCTACATCACCACGTGGCTCATTTTCCGCAGTTGCCCCCGCCGCCTCACCATGTCTGGCTGGCTCTTCTCCTCAGGATTCTTCCTCCTGGTAATCCAGCTCATTCCGGCAGGTTGGTGACACATGTTGGGATGAAAATTGGATGCGTAGTTTTTTTAACCCCTTGTACCAAAATCCTGACCCAGGGTGCTGGGTCAAATCCAAAACCCAATGTGCTTGGTATAATGAACCCAGCATGGACTTGGTGTCTTTTGGACCCAGGGGTGGGTTAGCTATTTCACACTCTAAAAACAAAAGGGTCAAATCACATCAACGGAGCCAAGAGGGAAAAAAAAGTTTGTTTCTAACTTTCTCCATTCCATTCCAGCAAAGCGATAGAAGACGGGTTAGCTTGCCCAAAAACACCGGTCTCTGACTTTAAAGCAGAGAAAATTAGCTTTTTGTGAAACGCTATTATTTTGCACTTCGGTGACACCTCCAACTATACAAACACCCAAAACAGAATTGCGACGAGTGTTATCTTCTCACCGGCAGATCTGCACTGGCTGGCGGTGTCTGTGGAAATGATGGGCAAGTTCTGCTTGACAGCGGCATTCAGTCACGTCTACGCTTACTCGGTGGAGCTCTACCCGACCGTGCTGAGGAACACGGCCATGGGCGCCTGCTCCATGGGCTCAAGGATAGGCAGCATCCTTGCACCCTACATCATCTACCTGAGTAAGTATTACCCAACTTTGGGTTCTTTTGCACAAATCATGTCGATAAGCAATCAGCTGGAGTTCACATCCCCCTCGAGCCTCTCTCTCTCTCTCTCTCTCTCTCTCTCTCATCTCTCTCTCTCTCCTCTCCTCGTCCTACA